CTCAAAGGTAGATCCATCGTAAGTCAACAGCGGCCTCACTTTTGCCTTGGGTGTTAGTATTCCGAACGAAGGTACGACAACATCGCGGAACACGCGCAAGTGGTCTGCCTTCTCTTCCGGTGTATATGACTCTGCGCTGTTGAGCAGGGTGTTGAGGAGTGGTGCGCATTTATCCCACCACCACCGGTGCTTTGGGTTGAGGGGAGGGTCAATAGGGATGGTAGCATCGTTGACACTTGAGGAGAAGGCGTTGAACTTCTGAGGAGACCTTAGCGGTGCTTCGAGGCTATCCTTTACAGGATTATAGATGGCTGCTGGTGCCATGCTGAAGACTGGTCAAAGGAAGTATGTGCAGTGTGAGAATTCAGAGTAATGAGATGGAAATGCTAACTAATCATGCTCAGATGACGCTGACATGCAGGAGGTAGGGCATCCTTAAATCTTTATAGCTTCACCAGAGTCTGGGCATCCTAATTAAACACCGTTCGCCTCAAGTGATAACTTCCCAATTAGATCTACGTTGCACTCCTTCAACCGAGATATTGATGGACATGAGCATTAGGCCGAGGGCCGAAGGCCACTGTCCTCCAGTTGGACAGGTTTGTCCGTCGTGGTCCTCAAAAGGTCGCCGTCTACTTCCAAGGCGAGAACAAACATTGAGTTTGATCAGGTATCAAGTCAAGACAACGTCACTGCAATGCAGTTGTTTGGTGGACTATCGTCCTTCGCGCAGTGCATGGATATGCTGACTACTTACAGGCACTTACTCAGTCCTAGTAACCTTTCATCTTGAAGTTGAACAAGGAGGCTGTGGCCTGCCTGCTGTCAAGCTTAGATACCCGGAAGCCGCGTGCTTAGTTAAAACGCGGAGATACTTCGAAACAAACAAGGACAGCCTAGCCGAGTAGCTCTACAAAGATCAGGCGAAACCATAAGCCATGGCAGCGTATGATTCACTTCGTCAGCGAAACACTCGAACTCGTTGGTATTCGTATAAGGCAAGTAGAGATGGCTTCTTGTCGGCGCCCGTCACTTGTCTACTCAATGTCATTCTGGAAAGCTTGGCCGAGGGCTGAAATCCGAGTTCGACAACTTAAACACAACTCTAAACATCCCACTTGATCAGACGATATGGCCGCGGCAGAGTTGGTCAAGATTACGAACTCGCCGCACCTTCCGCAATCATCGGCAGTTTGTCATTGCCTTTCCAATGAGACATGTAGTCTTGAGCCATTTCTGCACTTCACTAGTCAGGTGAGGATGATAATACGGACGTTCCCATCGGACTCTTGGAAGTTTGATTCAATGCCACGCAGCCAGTTTGGGGAATTCCAGGAGAGCCGCTCTCATCAGGAACGGGCCTTTTGATGTAGAAGATGTTTGATATCGAGCAGTCCAAGTGCTACTCCGCGCTTACGGCCCCGCGCGGACTAGATCCGCGGTCATCTATGGAGGCCGAACTTCCGAAGATCCGTCATGGTATGAAGATTGGCAAGAGCTCATCCTAAGCTCTAGAGCTCAGCCGAGTATAAGCTCACGGGCGTCATAGACTGGAAGCTCTCGTCAATAAATGAACTCTTCCCCCTCTTCAAGGAGAAGGTTCGCGAACTCAACTATATGTGTGGTTACGAACGACAACATTATTAAAGACTACACCATCTCCAAAATTCACGAAATAATTCCTCGAATCTTCAATACTGTACTACGGTTACAAGGCCACTTATTATATTATGGCACCAGGCGTCACGTCGGCGAACGGGGGGCACGCATCGAACGGTGCGGCGCCAGCTCCTCGATTTCTGCCCCCTGGAGTATCCGCGGAGAAGTTCCAAGAGTTCGCAGCAAGCCTTCAAAAGGCAGTCGGAAAAGACAATCTCCAGATCATCACCAGAGATACCCAGCTGGATGATGGCGACTATCAGACCGTCGATTGCCAGACGCACGACATGCACTCTCTCTACGAGCGTGAGGAATTTGTTGGCAGCGCGCTCATCCACCCCCGAAATGTGACAGACATCCAAGCAGTCATCAAGCTCTGCAACGAGTATCTCGTTCCTGTGTGGACGTACAGCAAAGGTCACAATATCGGCTACGGCGGTGCCGCTCCAAGAGTATCCGGAAGCTTGGTGATGAACCTGGGAAAGCACATGAACCGCATCATTGAGGTCAATGCCACGGACTGCTACTGTCTCGTTGAGCCCGGTGTCACCTATTTACAGATGCAAAAGTATCTTGATGACAACGGGCTGCGGGACAAGGTGTGGCTGGACTCACCGGAGCTCGGCTACGGCTCCATGATTGGAAACGCACTGGACCATGGCGTGGGCTTCACTCCCTACGGTGATCACTGGATGATGCACTGTGGAATGGAAGTTGTGCTGGCCAGCGGTGAGGTCGTTCGTACGGGCATGGGTGCGATGCAGAGTCCCGAGGGCCGCAAGCAGGCGGCTCAGGGGGTACCGCCTCAGGATCAGCATCAGAACGAGTGTTGGCAGCTATTCCCTTATGGATTTGGTCCAATCAACGACGGAATTTTCTCCCAGAGCAACAACGCAATTGTCACGAAGATGGGCATGTGGGTAAGTTTGAATTCATGAGAGGGGGCCAAGTTGGTCACAAGATGAGGCAAAGCTGACTGATGGATACATGTAGCTCATGCCCGCACCCCCTGGAATCACTCCCTTCATGGTGACATATGAGAAGGATGAAGATCTTGAGGCCGTCGTCGATATTATTCGTCCGCTTCGTGTGGTAAGTTGCTGCTCTGAGACTTGATGAGTAACGCAGCTCACAAAAACTCTACAGAACATGGTTCTCCAGAATGCTGCCAGTCTCCGTCACATCTCGCTCGATGCGTCGCATTACCACCCCCGCACAGCATACACTGATGATCCCAATACCCCGCTCACGGAAGAGCAACTAGATGCTGCGGCGAAGAAGGTCGACCTTGGCCGCTGGGTTTACATTGGTGCGGCCTACGGACCGGAGCCGATCCGCAAAGCCCATCTCGAAATCACTAAGCGAGAGATGACCAAGGTTCCCGGAAGTCGATGGTTCCTGCTTGAGGATCGCAAAGAAGAGCACAGCACCTTGCACTGCCGTGCTGACACAATGCGAGGCTTGCCGACATGGGATGAGCTCAGATGGCTCAACCAGTAAGTGCCCAAACGCCCCAATTCAAGGTTACAGCTTTGACCAGTTTACTCAGGTGGATTCCTCACTGCACATTCTTGTCTTTCTCGCCAATCTCCAAGGTTGATGGCAAGTCTGCCATGAAGCAGTACACGATGGCTAAGAAACGCTTCGCGGAGGCGAAGTTGGACTACTTTGGTATTCTCAGCATTGGCATGCGTGAGATGCGTAAGTCATCCATCACCCAGCTCGTCGCTCTGCCATTACGAGGCGTTGAAGAAGATTGCTGACGCGAGGTTGCACAGACAACATTGTGTGCATCGTTTATAACAGGGAGGATCCTGACATGCGTCGCCGCGCGCAGTGGCTCGTCCGTACCATGATCCAGGATTGCGCTGACAACGGCTGGGGCGAGTTCCGTACTCACGTCGCTCTCATGGATCAGATCGCGGATACGTACGACTTCAACAACCATGCGCTTGGCAAGTTGAATCAGACCATCAAGGATGCGTTGGATCCGAATGGCATTCTGGCACCTGGAAAGAGCGGCGTTTGGCCCAAGAGCTACGATAAGTCCAAGTATGTCCTCAACAAAGACTACATTAAATAAGTAAGAGTGGGGACTATAGTATTCATCATCACATCACGCACGCACAGTTTAGCAATTGAGAGTTTCTCTTGCCATAAGGTTTTCAGAATATGGCTGGCTTAACCCTGCATGATGAATGAAGTCCAGCCGATTTGCCAGTGAGCGTTATGCCATGGAACAACCACACCCGCGTTGCAAACAGCCACTGAGGGTGTCAACATGAGCGGTTGGGGAGCAGCAGCAATAGACACCAGGGAACGGGCGAGGGACCGCGATCCTCCGCAGTTTTTGCGTGGCCCGGTCATACTATCCTTGAAACTCAGCTACGCCTTCGCAACTTTCAACGAAGCATGTCGCTTAATAATCAGCCCTGATGGTCTAGCGGTATGATTCTCCCTTAGGGTCTTCACGACACATCTGGGAGAGGTCCCAGGTTCGAATCCTGGTTAGGGCCCAGTTCTTTTGCTTTTGATCACCATTCGACAGATACGCCTTGCTCTTCTGTGTACCCAACATTTTCGTATGTTAAGCTGTGATAGAGTGGACAATTTGCTAAATGACAAGCCCGACACAAATCGCGTGCCCACACTCTAAATCATCTAAGAAATCCCAGCCCCTATCATGGTAATAGCTTTGTTATTCTTTGCACTTCCATTAGTAATGACGATCGGCTTCCAGCATAAAGCGCGAATATCCGTGGCCTCGGTTTCAGATCACCGACAAACATTTTCAGTTCCCAGCATTTCCGGACTCCGGATACGGGCCGTGTCAAGTTGATCAAGTTGAGACGAAAGCTCATGCTGGGGAAGGCCTGCATGGAATCTTAGATGCATCAGCATGATTAGCATCTACATTGGGCGAAGGATTGTTTCGGTATCGGGCAAGGTTCAATAGACTTTCTCTACATCAATTTTCTAAGAAGCTTTGCTAGCAGGCTGATCTGGCTCTGGTCTCAGTCTCGGTTGTTGTTCATGACCTTCCCCAAAGAAAACTGTCCCTCGCGTGGAAGGACCTTTGAATGATCTGTCGTCATTTTGAGAGGCAAAGTCACGAGACTTTGAAGCGAAAGCGGTTGCGCTCCATGGCCTGGCATACACCTGTCTGGCTCATGACTTCGCCTGTCAAGTTTTTATGAGCAACTTGGTAGCACTTTCATCCACTGAAGATCAACCGTTTACACTATCATTTGACAGACATTGGAACTAAACTGGCTGACGGCATTCTCCTTCGACATTCAAAACCTAAAGGTTAGAGTTGAGGAATAGAAGCAGATCTCAATATGTCCAAAGAGTCCGCAGACCCAACTGTAGCTCTGGTGACGGGTGCCAACCAGGGCATAGGCTACGAGATTGCCAAGCGACTGGCATCGGAACATCCTGATTACCACGTCTTCATGACGGGGCGACGGAAGGAAGCCATCGAGAAGGCAGCTTCAGGGCTCCAGGAAGCCGGTTTGAATGTCGAGCCTTTAGTTCTGGATATCACATCCGATGACAGTATTAAATTCGCCGTCGACACAATCCGCACAAATTTCGGCCATCTCGACGTCCTCATCAACAATGCTGGAATCCTCTTGGGCAAGCCCGAAGACTCGATCCGGCTGAAGCTCGCGACGGTCTACAACACCAACGTCTTTGGCTCCATCGCCGTCACAGACGCTTTCATCCCTCTCCTGCGCGAGTCTTCCAAAGTGAAGCGCATCGTTTTCGTCAGCTCGGGACTGGGGAGTCTTGCGATTCGGACGGATCCTAGTCTGGGTCCGGTGAGGGACTTTATCGAGTATGGTTCCAGCAAGGCCGCGCTCAATCACGCTGCGATGACTTTCGCGTCTAGGTACAGGGACGACAAGATGTGGAAGTTTAATATTTGTTGTCCTGGCTACTGCGCGACAAACATGAACTCGTACGAGGGGCCTGATGAGGCATCACTGGGATCGGTTCAGGCGGTGCACTTGGCGACCTTGGGACCTGATGGTGCGAGCGCGACGTTTTCCAACCGACATGGGCCGATCCCGTGGTGAATGCTCGGTGTGTTGGCTAGGTAGCGGGAAGAAAGTTGGCAGATACATGTTGAAATCATAGTCCCACATCGATACTCTCAATCGCATGATGGACTGATAGGCCTGACCATGGGGACTCAGAATGAACAAGGGGATATTCGGGGATTCCGTCTTATAGCGATCAGCCAATATGGGCTCTCAGCGTGATAGGTTGTAGCTGTATCCAATCACTTACACGCCATTTGGCTGAGCAATTGTTGTGCTGGCGTAACACCAGTCGCAAATGGGTCTGAATGTGTCCGGTATGTGGCTAGAAATCAGCGACAGCGCGCCAATTGGGCGAATGTCTCCATGTTTCTACAAGGGCGCACCTGTACCAGGTTCCCCGCTCCAAATCATCTCGCACTTCAAAGAGAAGCACTCTGGCCCGATTGCATCTTCAGTTGTCTTCATCGATAAGCATATTGAACAGATCAACGGTCTCTACAATGGATGGACAGCCTGTTAGACGACCCTACAAAGGCTCATGTCATTGCGGTGCGACGCAATACATCGTCTTCCTCTCGTTTCCTCACACACTACCTCCGGCGCGTGTCCCCAGGGCCGAATCGCGAACGCATCAAGACTTCTACAGATGCAACTGCACCACCTGCCACAAAGCCGGAATTTTTCACATGCGCCTCGCCTCGGCCCCGGATGACTTTCTTCTCCTGAAGCCCCTCGACCCGTACAACGACTTGGGCGACTATACGGTCTATGAGAAAGACCTGCACTTTCTCTTTTGCAAAGGTTGCGGCATGCGTTGCTTCACTTTTATGGGGAAGGGCGAGGTGGTGGACGTAGATCTAACGGTTCTAGGAGTCGGCGCTGGGACCGACTCCGGGTCGGAGGAGAAGAAGGCCCGCAGCAAAGGCGGGCCGGCGGCTACGGCGACGGCGGGCGAGAAGAGCATGACAAAGGTGTGGAGACCGAAGAAGGAGGGGTGGGTGGAGGGCAAGAAGTTCGGAAGCTATTTGAGTGTCAACGGATATTCCGTCGACGCCGGTCAGGAGGGATTCGATCTACGCGAGATAACGGAGAAGAAGTGGGTTGGGTATTGCGATTGGCTTGAGTTGCATTCCGAAGGGTCTCAAGGGACTCGACATGATCGGCCCTGGGAAGGCGGCGCTTATTGAGCTGGTGAGGTTGGTTCGAAATGGGCCGGTTAGTCAAATCCCGGAGTGATAGGGGAATGAAGCGAACGCGTTGAAGTGGAGTTGAGCTGAATGGCAGGCTGGTTGAAACCTGGCATATCTTGGTTACGCCCGGTAGGACGGGGCTCATCGGGATATGGATTTCCTCCACATCCATAAAATGATTCCGGCCCCTGATACGAGCATCGATTCTGACTTGCTCCTTTCGCTCCTTCGTAGTATCATTTCGTAACAAGTCTGCCGATAGCTCTGATATCCAAGATGATTCGCACTATAACAATGCACTATTGACATCCTTGTTCGAGTCGTGTGCCTCTGGACATTGCTGACGGAGTATCACTGCGGAGGTCTGCATTCCGCTCCCGGCTGACTACCGCGCAGCCAACGGAGGCTTAGCGGAATTCAAGATCTATCATTACCCCCCCTATGACAGTCGCATTGTGAAACGATCTCCTTGCTATCAAGAAGACTATGGAGATTAGCAAAACTCTAACCCCGCATTTTCCTTATCATTGGGTCTGAGTTGCATGGAGAAAGACGAACTTGTAGGGAGACATATCTTGGCGCTATCTTCATCAGGTAACGAACCACCCTGTAGTATTGCAGCTATTACATGCCGCGCCCATATCCGGTCAGCCAGCAGCGCCATCCAAGAGATATATAAAAGGAAGCCTTCGAAGCGTCGTCCGAAATCAGACGAGCTCGTCAACTTCTTACTTTTCACCTGCAGTTGCATCTCCTCTTCACATGTCTTTGCTCTCAAACCTTGCATTACGTATCACCAACTCCACCCCCGCAGCAACAACAACATCAACAACAACAATGACCAACACAAGCAAAGTTGTCAAGGTGGCCGTCACCCAGGCCGAGCCCGCCTGGATCGACCTCCCAGCCGCCGTCGCAAAGACATGCAAGCTCATCGCAGAGGCCGCTTCCAATGGGGCTCAGCTCATCGCCTTCCCTGAGTGCTGGATCCCCGGTTACCCCGTGTGGATATGGACCCGCCTCATCGACTTTGATCTCAACGTAAAGTACATCAAGAACTCGCTTCAGCTCGACTCGCCCGAGATGGCCACCATCCAGGCCTGCGCAAAGGAGAACAACATTGCCGTCTCACTCGGCTTCTCAGAGAACGACAACCACTCGCTCTTTATCGCGCAGGCCCTCATCGGCCAGGACGGCGAGATCAAGGTGCACCGCCGCAAGATGAAGCCCACGCACATGGAGCGGACCATCTTTGGCGACGCGTCGGGCCACTGCTTGAAGAGCGTGGCTGAGCTGCCCTTTGCGCGAGTCGGTTCTCTGGCGTGCTGGGAGCACATCCAGCCCCTTTTGAAGTATAACACGATTGCCCAAAAGGAAGAAATCCATGTCTCGGCATGGCCCAGCGTCACGCCTCATTCCGGCGGTGGCCCGGACATGTGGTCGATGAGCGCAGAAGGTATGTCACCACAAATGCCGTTCCGGGCGGAATTTCACATTCCGAAATTCCGGCGTCTTGATGAACTTGAACTAACCTAGATGATTAGGATGCCACAACCTCTCCCGCACATACGCTATTGAGTCAAACGCCTTTGTTCTCCACAGCACGGCGCTCATCTCCGAAAAGGGCATCGCGGCGCACAGCAGTGCGGGCGGCGCCATCATGTCCACCCCTGGCGGTGGAACCTCTGCCATCTTCGGCCCGGACGGCCGGAGGCTATCGGAGCCCGTCGATGAGAACACGGAGACCATCATCTACGGCGAATTGGACTTTGACGCCATCCACAGGACAAAGATGTTCGCGGATTGCACCGGCCACTACAGCAGACCGGATCTTTTGAGGCTTAATGTGGATAAGGAGATTAAGATCCTGGTCAGGGCGGATGGTAGTGTTGCGAAGGTGCCGAAGGAGGAAGAGGAGGAGGCTGTGCTTGTTCTCTAGATACCTATTTCATAATTGCCATTTTCTTGTCATTCTAGCAAATCAAACTTTTCATCCATAAACTACCATCGCTTCGCCCGAGATTTCCCGATCATTCAATCGCTGCATAACACCAAGATTGCAACAAAAACCTTCCGAACCACACGAGGGTATAGGTGTTTTGTAGTACCAATACATTGCATCCATGAGCCTAACGCTACACATATCCGGGACAATCCCCCGCCTCTTAATTCGTTCATAACCCATTGTTAGTCGAAAGCCAATTGAAGTCTTCGCAATCCGTGAGCCCCTGAAAGGCCTGGAGAAAATCAACAGTACCCATAGGGTTCGTCCGCTCACCGCTCAAACCAGAAACATCGAGAGTTCCCAGAGACGCGAAAGAGCTCATGTCCAAGGTGCTAAAGTCCACGGGTGGCGCATCAGCCGCAGTAGCGCCGTACCCATCCCACTCATACTCAAACTGAACCTGGTTCACACCACTCAGGTCCGCCTCGCCCATGTCCCTACTCCTGGACTGCGTAATATTCGCGCCCAAGTCACTCTGAGCATCGGGCGCTGTAGCCGCAGACTGCTCGATCTGGTAACTGAACTCGATGGGCAGAGCCCTCATCACCCCCCACCGCTGCGCGAGCACACGAATGATCTTGATACTCTTGACGGCACGGACAGGCCACGAGACCTGAAGCTCGCGCAGGAGCTCAAGACACTGCCGGAGCCAGTAGGTGCTCTGGTGCCGCAGCGCCGGCGTCCAGCTGGTCGCGTTCATTAGGTGTACGATGGCGGCGCTGAGGAGGTGGTGGATGATGACCGGGTTCGGGGAGATGTCGAAGCCGTGGGCGCGGCGGTAGGTCCGAACGAGTCGGGAAGTCGCTGTTGCTGCTGCGGTGAGAGAGCGGAGGACGAGAAGCATGAATTCCGAGTTTTGTCTCTTGCTGCTGCTGTTGTTCGCAGTGTTCCCGGGCTCGGTTGTCTCTGAGGTTTGTGAGATTGCGGCAAAAATGCGGAGGAACGGGGGCATGGTGATGAGGATTGTCATTTGGTAGGCTAGGTGGAATTGGATAACTGGTTTCGGGGTTGAGTCTCCCGACAGATGGAGCCTATCATCGCGGGAGCGGAAGAAGGCGCTGAGTGCGTCCTGGCTTGCTACGAGGATGCGGACTTGTTGCGGTATGGGTAGAGATTCGAAATTTGTTGAGAAGCTGAGATCGGTGTTACTCACGAAAGTCCATCTTCTGAAATCTGTGTGGGAGACGGGGAAGCAGGACTTACACCTGGTCCATGTACTGGTCATGCAGATACCACAACTTGCACTGCCATGCAAAAGATACTTGACCGAGGCCCGCCTTAGAGTTCTCAAAGGTCATCTCAAAGTCCGGTACGTTTACTCTCCGCCACGGTAATGCGCAGTTACGGCCTAGAATCGAGATGGCTGTCCGGTCAATGATGTAAAACATCCAAAAAGTGCGAATCTCCTGCTCCGTAGCCTCCAGCTGCCTGGCTTCGCACTCGTCTAGCGCCAAGACGTGCAGTCTCAGATGTACGCACATGCCGGCGGCCATGGAGATGAACATCCAGCCAAAGTGGTCTCTTCCCATAGCCAATGAGCGCCACGACATCATTGACAGCCCCTGGATGACTTTGAGTGTGGGATTCTGCCGGCAGCAGGTGAAGATGAGGCTTTCTGCGAACTGCGCGAATGCATCTCCTATGAGGGTAGCATCTGGTCGTCGTGTAAAGGTTGTGCCTGTAGCGATGATGGCACTGTGTAAGAAGGCTTCATCTGGGGTTTGATAAGGGTAGTTGTGCAGGAAGTCGGTTGTCGTGTACGGCGTGAACTGATGTTCTTGGTTGATGTTATCCAAGAACAGATCCGCCATCTCGTGGATTAGGCCCTTTTGTCGACA